GCCCTCGGCGGGCGGCGCGCGCGGGAACTCCTTGAGCGAGCGGCTCAGCGGCTTGGCCTTGCCGTGCGCCTGCGCCGCCGCCTCCAGCTTGTAGGCGCCGCTGCTGCCCGCCGGCGACGTGGCGCTCTTGGGCAGCGGCTGCAGTGGGTGCTCGGGCCGCTCGGCCTCCATGGCAAAGCTGACGGGCCGCAGGAAGCAGATGTCCAGGCTGGACTCGGAAGAGGCGGGCGAGCAGTTCTCGAAGAGGGCCGGGGCCTGGTACGGCTCCTCGTCGTAGGGCGCGGGCAGCGCGAAGATCTCGCCGCCGTACTCGAACTCCTCGTAGCCCGCCGGCACGAAGCCGCGGGCGTCGGGCAGGAGCTCGGCTGGGGTGCGCAGGGAGCGCTCCACGTTGCCCAGCGGCTCGGCGGGCGAGGGCTCGAAGTCCATCTCGGGGATGGCCTGCAAGGGCCCGGCGAGCGCCTTCACGTCCTGCTCGGCCGCACAGAACTGCGCCGGCGCCAGGAGGCTCTCGGGCCTCTCGTGCTTTCTGCCCTCCATCTCCCACTCACTGGGCTTCCCAGGCTGCATGCTCTCCATCAGGCTTTGCTGTTGTTGGCTTTTCTTAACTGGGGCCATCAAATGTCTTTAAAGGGGAAACAGAAAACAAAAGAGGTGTGCTTACGGCTGGTTAGTGCAGGCCTCTCCCCGCAGCTCGAGGCCAGGAGCAACACGCGTCTGCCAGCTACCGCTTAGGCGCAGAACTGCCAGTTCCTCTCCTCTCCGCCCCCCAGGCGCCTACGTGTGTCACCTACCAAGCTCCACAGGCTTCTCCAGCTAAGGGAGTCCCCATGAGCCCTGGTCGCCCACGTGGGAGGGTGAAAATGCCATCTGTAAAGCAGATGACCGGAGTATCCGTCCGAGCAAGGAGGCTGTGCACAGAGATGGCAGGTCAGCCAAGTATGGTCATCACTCGGCACGTGGAAGCTCTGACCCGCCCACCACGTGTCCAGAGCCCCAAGGTACCTCATTTTCTCTGCTCTCCTTTTTTTGCCCTAGCAGTATGATACAAAATAATGGAAAGAACTCTTGTCTGACTTGCGGATCTTCACGCTTAAGAACAATTAAACTGCTGAACCTGGATGATGGTATATGGGGTTCACTGTACACTGTACACTTTACTTTTGTATATATTTGAAGTTTTCATAATAAAAAACTAAAAAATTTTATGGCTATAGAGCATGCTCTATGAAGTCGTCTCAAACTTTCACCGACAAAAACAACCACCAAAATGAAAAGGCTATCACTTTAAATAAGCCCAATTTCATGTTTAATCATGAGTAATGAATAATTTACATAGGATATTAGGGTAGCATACACATCAGATTGGATGGGATTTGCCAGTTCTGGTGGAAGGTAATTGCCAGGCAGATGTGAGTGCATGACTACACACTGACCCGACCTTTTATTTATAGTTTATTAATTCTACCACAAAAATGCATTAAAAGTGCAGATGTATTAAAAAGAAAAAACAGATGCAAATACTGAGTATCTTTCTCTGGTGATCTTAAGATGAAAATGAGGTCTCACACTCAAAGGTGAAAAGAAATGATAAAATGAAATATTGACCTAACTTGAATCATCTTTTCACTTGGAAAACAAATTTTTTACTGGCCATTTTCCCAACATAGAGTGCAATGGCAACCATCTTTTTGGTCTGGCTATAATCTCTAGGGATTTCATTTTTGGGGGCTCTATTTGTTGCACTTCAAAGAAGATAGCTTTATTGTTGTTAATAAAACCTGAAGTGACCCACAAAGTAAACACTCTCTTCCTGCCTATCTCTCACTCTCCACCCAGGAAAGGTATTTTTTCTGCATGGAGTTCTCCCCTACAGGATTTGTGGGATTTTCTCTATAGGAAGAAAATCTTCCTGGGCTCTATTTATAGAAAGGTTAATGTCTCATAGGTCCAAAATGATTATGGAATCTCTCTCTCCATATTTGTACTTCTGTCTTTCAGTGATACATGTTCAGTTTTAAGAGATGAAGGCAGAAAGAGGAAACAGTTTATTTTGCTTTACTGATCAGATACTCCTTACAATGATTGTAATTGGCATTTTAAAAATTGGAGTGATTAAAAATTGAAATAATCTCAGTTGCCTACCCATTACTTCATTGTAATTTTAGAAAAGTAGCTAAAACTTCTAATTTTCCTTAAAATAATAAAACCCAAAGTAGAGATTATAGTCTAAGGAATTACTTTTGTGAGAATTGTATTTGACAGAGTGGTGGGTATGGAATTTTGAGTTTTAGTTTCCCTTATCTTTCCAGAAATCCTGATTGCAAAAGTAGCTAATTTGACTTTATCCTTATCCTTCAGAGGTAAAGAGTTCCAAATATATATAAATGGCCTAATCCTTAATGGAAAAATCATCAAGAAGTTTGATGAATAAGAATCCAGCTTAATGTGTTAGAGGGTTGTGTGCAGAGACTTTAAAAGGCTGTCAAATACATCCACTGCACAGAACAGCTTTAAGAGAAGCTGTCATAAGTGAAGAAAAGAACTTACAAAATCCCTTTCTGAAGAAGTTTCAAGGGGAATTGGGAAGGGCTAAACAGCATTCTTTTTGCATCACCTCAGGCCTATTTCTCTTCTCAGAGTCTTAACTTCCATTCACCCCTGACTGGGATTCTCTTTCCCTCTACTACACCTTTTGGAGAACTTAAGTGTGTTCCCACCCTTCTGAGGAGCTATAAGATGCCTTCCTGTCTTCTTGTGGCCCTTTCTTCTACTCAATCATTGTCTAAACCCAAAGAAACTTATGCTGTAGGTAGAGGGTAGTTATGTGTGATAAAATTGTTAGGAGTAGCCTTCAGCCTCTAGGCCTGCCCCTTTACATTAGCCTTGCTCTGGGATCTAACCATTGGGTCAGCTGCTTGCCTGCTGTATATAGGACTGATGGAGCAAGAGGGAGGGAAGAGTCCTGTAGGTCATACTCCTGTTCCAGGCTGTCCTGCTACCCCATGCAGATGACTTGGCACCCAAGGGCATTGCCATATAACCTTTCCATAGCAACAAGTGCTTACGTGACAGCAGGGCCAGAACTGGGAGCAGAAGGGTAGGGTTGCAGTATCTCTTCTGAGTGGATCCCACTGTCACGGACAGCCTCGGGGCCTGCAGTAGGGGAAGCATCTTGTCCAGTATTTGCACACTGGGAAGCCAGCCCTTTGTACAGCTTTGCCATGGATGACCTATGAGAATGGAAGTAATAATTTTCAGGGTGTATAGTGGGAAATTGGCTCTGAACACACAGATTATGCCAAGAAAGATAAGGAGACAATATTTCTCAGCTGAAGCTCAGCTGTGAAGTTCTCTCTCCCTCTCTCCCTCCATGGTCCTCTATAAACCAGGTTGTTTACATAACAGTGCAAGTTAGATGCTGGGCAAGAATAGGGATGCTGATTAATTTCCTGAGTTAAGTTTGAGGGAAAAGGGTGGTATAGGAAGATGTCCTCCATTAGAGGAGCACTAGCTTGGGAGATGGCATCTTTTTCTGGTCTCAAACATCCACAGAAATGATTGTTTTCTTCACTGGGCTGGGATGAGGTTGAAGGAAATCCAGGTCATTAGGAAATTCTGTTATGGGTTGTTTCTGTTCTTTCTCAAGCCCAGATTCTCCCTAGTCAGCTCTTATTGTTTCTTTTTAGTGTGAAATTTGTTCAACCACCACCCTTATTTGTTTTGTTTTTATCCATAGCACTTACACCATCTATTTATTAACTGGCTGTCCAGCTCTAGAAAGTAAGCTCCACGTGGTAAAGATTTTTGGTTGTTTTGTTCATTGCAGTATACTCAGTACATAGATACATAGTAAGTGCTCAATAAATACTGTTGAGTTCATGAAAGAAACCACATTCTGGCCTTTAAACTGCACTTTTTTGACCTGGCAAGCTTAGGGAAACAACTATTTTCAAGGTGGTTAATAACACAAGGAAGGGGGCCTGCATAGGGATTAGAGTAAAACTGTTTTTATTTCTCTAAAGTAATTATACCTACTACCTGATGGAAATTACTTTACCACCAGGTAATAGGTCCCTCCCTCCTGTAGCCAACCTGACCACCTCATTTCCCTCCTCTTCTCTCTTCTCTTCTACCCCCGTCAATGCATTTCAGCCACTTAACATACAATGAGGTCACTTTTGACAGGTATCCACATTGACTGTCTATATCCCTGTTCTCAGAAACCTTTGGTCAACCCTCTAGACGGCACCATTAGAAGCTTACTTCTTGAGCTTTTTCCGTTTCTGAATAAGCAAATCCTCATTGCATTGAAACAGCAGGGTGTAATGTGAGATAAATACTCGAAGGCGCTGAACACACACCAGAAGTAGGTAATAGTCAGGGTGTTCCTGCTCTGTGAACTTCAGAACATTCTGGATGGAGATAAAAAGGAGGCAGCATTGCATAATTAGAATGAAACTTTTGTCTCTTGTGCCCCTTGCCTCCATCTGTTGTGAGAGTTTAGTAGCCATTTAATCAGAACAACAATACTAATTGTAAGCTGAATGGTTAAACCTGCTGTTCTCTTTGTCCATCACACCAGGGGAGAATAATAGTCACCATTGCTCCTGTTTGAGTTGGATGTGAATGTTGGATAATTCCTTCTGAAAATTAGAAGGATCTACTCATTAGATCTCTGAGGTAATGGAATCATTCTAACAATTACTACCTATAAGCAATGCCTTATGACCTAAACGAGGCAGGCCAATGGTGAGAATGTCAGGGATCAAGGCAGGCTGGAAGGGGATGATGTTCATGATCAAGCCTGGCCTCGTAGTCCTTCCTATTATATTGCCTAATGTACAGTAGAGGAACATGCATGTTAGTTGGATATGGGAAAGCTAACATTTATTGAATCTCCCTATTGCCAAGTACTAATGCCTTTATAGATTTGTTTTCTTCTTATTTAATGTTTACCACAGCTAGGTTAGATAGGTGCAGTTATTACCTCCATTTAACAAGTAAGGAAATCAAGGCACAGAGAAGTTAAGTAATCTTCATTAACACATCTAACAAGTAGCAGAGCCAGAATTTGAACTCAAGTCAGACAGTAGAATCATACTGCTTGCAAGACCTGGGTTTCAGTCCTAGATTTTTTTCACCTATGAGGTGTGTGAACTTGGGCAAGTTACTTAATTTCTTTGGCTCTCCATTTCCTTATCTAAGCAATGGTAATGATACCTATTTCATGGGATTATTGAAAGCATTAAATAAGATAATTATTGGGGCGCCTGGGTGGGTCAGTCAGTTAAGCATCTGACTCTTGATTTCGGCTCAGGTTATGATCTCAGGGTCCTGGGATCGAGCCCCATGTTGGGCACTGTGGGAAAAATGGTGTGCAGAAGTCAGCTCATCAACTTCCTCATGCTTTCTCTATGACATACAACATGAGCAATATATGGTAGGCCCTTGAACTCAAGCCAAAAGAAAGTAGTCAGGAGAGCAGTTAAGTGGACAGGTTACATAGATACTTCTTAGATGCCAATGGGTGGGGTAAGGGTTTGGGGGTACATTTAGATGGCTGTAGAACAAGGTTGAAGGGACTGAATAAGTACTCAGAATCTACCAGAAGCTGCTATAGAAAGATCCTGGATCAGCAGAGGTGGGGATTGCTGGTAAATGAAGATAGAACTTCAAAGGCAGACGTCATGAGCCAAAAATTTTTAGAGATTGAGATTTCATACCACAAAGTAGGAATGGCGTAATTGGCAATCTAAATCATTTCATTACTCCTTAGAAATACCACTGGTTCTTCCTTGACCCTTTACCGTGTTTCTCAGTCGCAAGCCACAAATAGCAGTTTAGCTTGAAAATCAGTTTGGTAGCTTCCCAGCCACGCTTACCTGCAGATGTATCAGATATTCAGGGATGCGCTGGACTATGTGAAAAAACAGTGTGTAGATGTCAGATTTAATCTCTTCATCACCCTGAATGAAAGAAAGGTAGAGTCACTCTTCAGTGTCCCTCCAACTCTGGCTGCAGAACCCCAAAGTCAGTCCTACCAGAGCAGGGAGGGTTTTTTTTATTCCCAAGGCATTTTCTTTCTCTAGAGTGTCATGATCCTTCATTGGATCCTTCACTGGATCCTTCATTGGAGTGACATGCTCAAGGAAACAATTCTTTTGTAGCGGGAAGCATATCATACACTTCTTTAGAATCCACCCAACTTTCCAGACTACCCCCTACTCCCTCCCCCTCTTTTTAGCACAGTGCTGGACAGAAGTGGGCACTCAATAAATTATATTTGAGTTGAATGAATTCATTAAGATTCTCTTGGAAGTACTCATTACAGTGGCTTACTGGTAGGCACTAAGGGTGGATTGGAGCCTCATGAGGGTGGAGAAAGTGTGTAACTAGGAACTGGTCAGCTGGGCTGGCAGAGGAAACATGTTGGATTTTCTCCATGTCCCTTTCCTTCCCTTCTTTTCCATTCCATTCCATCCTCTCCACTCCCACTCCATTCCTCCCTTCTCTTCCTCTTCCTTTTCTTTCCCTTCCCTTCCCTTTCTTAAATATTTGCTGAGTGCTAACATGTGGTAGGCATTATACTTGTAGGGTTGGGAGTAGTGGGGGGCGGGGGTTGAAGTAAGACATTAATAAGAAAGAGACCCTCACCTCCTGTGAAACTTGATTAATTCTTAACTCTAGGCTTCTGACAGGGTTTCTTCCTACTGACCTAAAATAACTAGAATTGTTAGATATTTATATGGACTTACTGAGCACCTAATATAACATTGCAGTAGCAATACTTAAAGCTACATGATTAGAACCACTTTATGATCTTATAAACTGACAGACACAGGATGAGTTTAATATTCAGATTCAAACTGTCTGAGCCTGGGGGGAAAAAACCCTCATACAGCACACAAGCTGTAGCCTGAGGATCTCTGCTTAGAACACCTGTTTACTTTGTGCAGCCTTCCAATGGAATAGAAAAGAGAGTCAGTAAAGTAGGGCAAGGACCAAAGCACAGGCACTCATCCTCAGGTGGGCTCCTTTAACCCCAAGTAGGAGTGTCAGGGACTCTCCTCGAGCCATTCCCCAGCCTGGAAGACAAGCTGAGTGCATTGTATTCCCCGAGGTGGATGAGCAAGGACCTATAGATACACATGTAACCAAAGGGCAGTGCACACACATAGAGTTACCTTACCTCCTTCAGAACAACAACATGAACCAAGGAGATACATTCAGGCAGGTCCCTTAGGTAGGCAACGTAATAATCTAAGAAATTATTCTTGAAAACAAACACAAAAATGCATGGTAAGTACCTGGAAACAGGAATAACAGCTAATATTTTTATAGAGTCATCTATATCAAAAAGGAGTACTTTGCAGAGATTATCTTAATCATTTATGTAATGTGTTCATTACTATGTTTTTTTGTTTTTTAATTCATTTTTTAAATCTTTTTGGTTTTAAGGTAAATATCCCTATGGACTTGGGAACCAAAACTCAATAGTCCTGTTTCAATGAGAGAAAGTGGAAAACCAACACAGCAGAGAGGGGTCACGTATGTTGAAAAAGTATTTTTAAACTGTTAAATGATTAAAATGCCTATTTTGTTTTTAAGTTACTTTTAATTTGTCATCTCCATCCAATAAGGAACTTCGTCCAACCCACCTTCTAGTGTCTAGACCAGTGATTCTCAACTTTTTCCACTAATTGTGTATTTCCACCCATTGCTTATTCATCTATGCAATATGCTTTTAGGAAAACAATTCTCAGCTTCCAAAGTTATATTCCCATGGATACAACAATTCTAAGCCCAAGAAAGCATACTGAATACAAATGAGTAAAAATGGTATTAGAGGGATTGCATTACACCCATATAAGTAAATAATTTGTAAACTTTGTTTGCTACATCATTGATATACAGAGTTTGACTGCAGGCTAACTCTGGCTTGCAGACCAATTTTAATTAGCCCACACAATATTTTTAAAATAAATTTTCACATAAAATTCTGGATTGCCAGTGTCTCGTAAAATACCAAAAGATCTGGCAACTCTAGTCCCTTCTTCCTGAATAATAATTGGACAATATTTCCTGTAGACAAGCATATGTGCTCCACTTAAGCTCACCTCCCAACAGCCAATATTGTATCACATTCCACTTACTTCCACTCATTTATATCACCGTCTGGCCCTGTAGGCATTTGGGTTTACAACCTCTGGCCTGGGTCATATTTTCTTTGCAGAACATTACAGAGATACAGATATTTATACACAAGTGCACACACACATTTACATGCATATTCAATGAGGCAGTTATACATAGTACAGTGGGAAGTGATGGGCTGGACGTTAGGAGACTTGGGTCACAGATCCACAACTACCTAGCTAGCCGAGTGATTTCAGCAAAGTCTTTTAATGTCTCTGAACTTTATTTCATTATCTGTAGAGTGAGGAGGTTAGACTAGATCTCAGCAGTTTTCCTAACTCTGAAACTCACCGATTTGAAGTTCTCCATTCAGAGAAGCAGACAAGAGAGACACAGATGCATGTAATTCTAGTTTATAAAGGATTTTTTAAAAACTTACCTCATCATTTGTTAACTTAAGGAATAAATCTCCAAGAACTCCTTGGCGTGGCCACTTCAGGACCCTTTCCTGCAGAGCATGAAGCAAATCGAGGTGCTGCTGGACAAGGTACCGTAAAGAGCCAGGGAAGAGGCTTGAAACAGAATAGAGATAGGATCACACAAACCAGGTGTACAGAGGAAAGACCCTATAAGAACATATGAAGGAGGTTCCATTTTCCCAGTCATTCAAAATATTCTGAGTCACAGCTCTGCATTCAGGAATTTTTTTTTTTTTTTGAGTTTGATATTGTAGACCTAATAGCAAATATCCTCAAGATGTAAAAAGACCCCTTTAGGGGTGCCTGGGTGGCTCAGTCAGTTAAGCGTCAGACTCTTGATTTTGGCTCAGGTCATGATCTCAGGTTTCTGGGATGGAGCCCCATGTTGGGCTCCGCACTCAGCAGGGGAGTCTGCTTGAAGATTCTCTCCCTCTGCCCCTCCTCCGACTCATGCACTCTTTCTCTCTCTCTCTTTCACACTCTCTTTCTCTCTCTCAAATAAATAAATCTTTTAAAAAATTAAATAAATTAAAATAAAAAGACCCCTTTACCAATGACTCCTACACAAATGTGTATTACACTAATAAAGAGCACATCACTTGAATGGCTTCTTTTTTTTTTTTTAAGTTTATTTATTTTTCTTAGTAATCTCTACACCCAACGTGGGGCTCAAACTCACAAACCTGAGATCAAGAATCACACACTCTTCCAACTGAGCCAGCCAGAATGGCCTTTTTAAAGCCAAACTGTTACTGTCTCATTTATGTGACAGTAGAAATTCTAAGGGAACTCTTTTCCAAATTTTTAAAGTTATTCCCACTTGATATGCAAAAGAGACTACTCTAATTAGTGCTGTAGATGACAGCATGAAGGTAGCACTTGATCATTCTTAGTTACTGAGTAAGAGACTCCGATTGAGGTAAAAAGGAAAACTTGTTTAAAGCTGGCACCTAGGGCGCCTGGGTGGCTCAGTTGGTTAAGCGACTGCCTTCGGCTCAGGTCATGATCCTGGAGTCCCGGGATCGAGTCCCGCATCGGGCTCCCTGCTCGGCAGGGAGCCTGCTTCTCCCTCTGACCCTCCCCCCTCTCATGTGCTTGCTCTCTCTCATTCTCTCTCTCTCAAATAAATAAATAAAATCTTTTAAAAAAATAAATAAATAAAGCTGGCACCTAAATGCTCAGGAGATGGGCATATGAAAGTGCTCCTTTCCCTTCATTTTCCAAGAGGACTACTGGGCAAGGACACAGTCTTGCCTGAGGAGGCTGCGGACCAGGCCTGGCCTGCTACTCCCTGGAGTGTCACAGAGCCCCTTCCTCTTCTCACACCCGTCTCCCTCATTCCTCAGTGTGCCTTGGTTTGTTTGTTTGTTTGTTTGTTTTTTCCTAGAGGAAATGAAGGGAGGAAGAGAGGTGTCAGAAAAGGATGTGGTGGAGAGGAGAGAGAGAGAGAGAATCACGGGCAGAGGAAGGGGGTGCATGGAGAAGGGTGGGGCAACCAGGGGCCTATAGGAATGAGGATGGAAGCCAGAATGAAGTAGAGTTTTGCTGGGCTACAGCAAGGACTCGAGCTCTAACTTGGTGACTTATGGGAATTGATACTAGGTTCCCTTGGGCTTTCAAGACCACAAGTTTAATGAAGATGAAAGTGTCACCGAGAGCTGAATTACTTGGATATTCATTCCCCCAGGGTCCAAAAAGAATGAATCAGTGGACAATTGGGGTGCTTTGCCAACCCTGAACAAGCAGACCTTTGTTGAGTTCAGTAGGAAGAACCGCAGTTTGGTAAGAAGTTTTTTCAACCTCCCCTCCAAAAAAATAAATAAAATTAAAAAAAAAAAAAAAGCTTCTTTAACCCATCTGCAAGTAAAGCAGACTCCCCTGAGGCTATAGCTCAGAGAAGACGCAGATAACAGAGCGAGTATCCAGCCCCTGTGAGAAGATACGAGGATTCCTTCACTCCGGACCTCTGCCCCTCCCCTTCCTGTGCCACTAGTCTCGGAATTTGCGAAGCCAGCTGGTCCATAAGCACAAGTGGAGGGACTTCCCGATCTAAGCCCTTATGGCTGGCACAGTGGGCTCAGAAGATCTAAGTAATCCCTGTCCAGATCAGAGGGAATTTGGAGGGGTGGCTAGGAGACAGGATGACTGTGGAGGAGACCATCAAGCTGATGGAGAAAAGCACAACTGATTGAACTGAAAGAGTAAAACACTATGCCCGTGAAAGGTCTAGATGTGAAAGATTTCTCCCCACCCAAGGCTATCATGACTTTGGGTAATATTCCTGGTGTGACACTGAAAGATGTGAGGGCACCATGCCATGGTGAGTTCTGACTTTGAGATGGGTTGTCCATATAGGTTATGTAATATCTCTTGGATGATCTCTTTTCTTTTTCTCTTTCTTTACTCCTCTCCTGGCCTTGCCTGGCCTCACCTGGCCTGACCTTCTTTCTCTTTCTTTAGAGAAAGCTGCCTTCTGTTACATGGTGACCAGTGTCCTTGCAGAATTGGAGAGCTGGTAACTTGGTTGGAGTCCAGGTACCCCCTGGACTGTCCACTGGGGTAATAGTTTGAGATTTCAGGGTGAGGGTCACAAAAGGTTAATGCTCCCATCAAGTATCATGGAAACACAAAAGTTCCACAAAGAGCAATGGCCTGCCTGTGGGTTCTGTACCAAATATTGAAGAAAATTTTATTTAAAAAAGATATTATTTGAAATCAGAGAGGAATGTGGAGGAGGTAAGCCAGGAGATAGAGAGGAGAGGGAGAAAGAAGCAAGCAGGACAGACACACACGTAACCTGTTTCCCTTTTTACCTAGAGCCACACCCGACTCCCAGAAGCAACTTTTTCGTGAAGATGAAAGTATTAAGTATTCATCTTCCTATCTATTCCTTACTAGGGGTGAAATTATAGCAACTACATGAGTAGTTTATTCTTTTTAAAATCTTCAAAGTTATTTAAACTCCCACAATACAGTACTTAAACAACAAGGGCACTAAACTAAAAGCCATCAAGGAAAACCCAGTTAGAGTTTCAAATTAATAACTTAGCTCTTGCCGGTCTAATTTTAGGCCAGACTATCTCCTGAGCTTCAGCAGCAGGACGCAACCAAATTTGCGGGGTGCCGATGACGAAGCATATGCCACCTGGTGGTGAGCCGTAGCACACAGCATTTTTGGTGCATGCGCAGTAGGCTGACTCGCAATCCTGTCGGGCTGATGTCCCTCCCCACAAGTATCCCGACAGACAGGACTGTTTGATCCTGAGCTTGGAACTCTATCTAGGTGAATCAGACCAGAGAAAGCCAAGAACTGCAACTCCTGTGATCCTCCAACAAATGAACAGTCGCCCACAAGCTCCTCTCAGACCTCAGCGGGCCGCTCGTGCCTCTGCAGTTTCCAGCCCTTTCGTTCAGCCAGGCGCAGGGCTGGCTTGAAACATGCGAAGGAGGCTCTTGAGGGCTTTACTTTTCTCCAGGGAAAAACTAAAGTTTTATTGTAGAGGTTTGAGAAGATGTGGCAACCTCAGTTTTGAGTGTCCAGTTGTAGTGCCGGTGGGTTTTATTTTCACCCCCAGGTTACTTTGCAGCAGGGGTGGAAAGTGCTGGAGGCTTGCAATGTATGATGGGAAAGATGGGACATGTTACTACCTTATTTTCATCTTTGCACGGGGAAAGTGCCAGTAGAGAAAAGGAATAATCTCGTTCTGTTGTGTATTTCGTTCAGTGGGCCTATTTAAAACCCACGGAGGCTTCAGAAAAGCTTAGAAAAGGGGCGCCTGGGTGGCTCAGTCGGTTAAACGTCTGCCTTCGGCTCAGGTCATGATCCCAGGGTCCCGGGATCGAGCCCCGCATCGGGCTCCCTGCTCAGCGGGACACCTGCTTCTCCCTCTCCCTCTGCTATTCTCCCTGCTTGTGTGCTCTCTCTCTCTGTGTGTCATATAAATAAATAAAATCCTTAAAAAAGAAAAGTTTGGGAAAAAAGAAGAAATGTAGTGAGTGAAGGAGGATAATGGAAATCTAAGCCTAGGGTGGAAAAATGGCAACACTGCAAAGCTCAGAACTCAAGTCTTTATATTAGTCCTAAGAGTACTGACTTAAAGCTTTTCTCATCTCCATCCATGAAAAGAAAAAAGAGGGTTAGCTTAGTAAATAACTAACATGAATAGCATTATCGCAGATATAAGAAATAACTGGTTTCTAACTTTCATGGGGGATTGTGTGATAGTTTTAAACTTTTTTAAATCTTGGGATTTGGGGACGATCAGTCCTTCCTCAGTCATGAGTCATGGGAGAACATCCTAGACAAGGAGGAAGTGACGGCAAGTAGAAGAGAGCTTCAGTAAACCGAGAACATTTCTAGCATCCCTGCCTGACACATCAGTTGAGATCTGAAGTAAGAACGTAAGGGCTGTTAAGAGGGAAGCCTACGCTGTAAAATAGGAACAGACAGAAGGTCTGCTTCTGGCTGAGAAACCCAACATATTGCTGTTAGTCAGATGATGTTTTTGAAACGACAAGGTCCTCAGAGAAGTGGTGTGATGTGGAAAGGTCACAAGGACAGGGGCAGACAAGCCTGGATCCGGATCCTGGCACTAACTGACTGTGTGGTTTTAAAGCCCTCTGGGCCTTAGTTTCTTCAGCTATACGGTAAGCTTCATAGGGTTCTTGTGAAGATTTCATGAATTTACCAATGAAGTGCCTGGTTACCGTGTTCCAGAGTAAACAGTTCTCTCTCTCTCTCCCCTTGCCCCATCCCCAAATTTTCAGAGACGATGAGGAGATGCTGCTGGCTTAGAATCTCGCATGTGGAAGCAATACTACACCAAAAGGTAGATTTGCCTTTAGATTTGATTAATGCAAATGGAGCAGGTCTCTGGCAAGATAGCTGGAGGCCGGAGAGGCATCTCAGAGGCTGAAGGGGCAATGGGGGAGGGTGGGACGAGTCGGATTCCAGATGGGGAAGGAACGACCAGCGAGAATCTGGGTGGCCCCTGAGAGAGGCCTCTAGGGGTGAGAGCTTTAGCCCTGTTACTTCACCCTTTCTGTTCCTTGTTGTTTTCTATACTTTGCTTACCTCAACTTTGCAGTAATGATTCTTGAAAATAGTCAAGCCACTTCTGAGTCTGTCAGGGAATATTCCCTCACCTCAGCCATTAGATAGGGGGAGCACCGTGTTCTAGAGACTAGGTATTTTGCCAGCAGCCACAAAGCCAAGTAAAATGGGGCGGGGGGTGGGTGGGTAGAGAGCAGGAAAATACAATCAGGGGCTTCCCGAGATAGATTCATGATAGATTTATGGACCACCAGTGTCTATTACCTGATAGACTATTTAAACTATCAATGCTACATTTATCTGTAATAGTCATAATCCAGACTTTCCATTCTTCTCGATTGGCCTTTTCCTCAACTAATCTGGATTATTACGTCTTCATGAGGTTAGTCCTTTCCACCAAATCAGAGTTTCCTCCTTCCTGCTTTTCTTAATGGAGAAGAAGCAGAGAAGATATAAAGATGATGAACAGAAGCAATCAAGGAGTGTTGTAATCTTGGAGCTAGCATGCTGTTATAATATACTGCAGACCCTGTGGAAGCACCAACACACATACACACACACACACACACACACACACACACACACACCACTTGCACACTGTCTAGTACTATGGGATCACCAGGACAAATAAGAAAGGTCCAAGTCCAGAGTTAATCAGCCCCATACCATTTATCTAATGGCTGCTTAATGCTTCAGACCTCCACTGCATCCATTCCCTCCTACGTCCATGAGACCTGTGATCCCAGGAGGACATGCAGATGGCAACAGAGAGCAATGTCTCCCTCACCGTAGCATTAATTCCCCCTTTATGTTCTTTACAGACATGCCAGGGACACTGAAGTTCTCAGAGACTATCTTCATTTTGTTATCTGTGGTAAGTCTAAATTTGAGACTTGCCAGGCATTACCTGCTGTCACTGCCTACACTCTCTTCAAAGACTATTTCTGGAACTCGTCAGAGGTCACAGAATTCCCCAACTGGAAACAATAAACGACTTACCTTAAATTTTAATCAATCTGAAAAGCAAAGGCAATGAACACATGGATACCTTCTCTCTTTGGAATTCCTCTTTCCATCTGACCCTTGGAATGTTGCCTTGATCTTCAGGATCAGAGAGATGTTGATGACATATTTTCTCTCTGACTCAAGCAGTTCTAGAGCCACGGTCTGTCTTTTAGCTTTAAAAAACAAATCAAAGAGGGAATTTTCGTCAACCATTGCTTCCCAAAACTCGATTAAATGATAGAAAGCAATAAAAAGACATTGAAAGCAATAAAAAGGGACATTGGCAAGTTTTCGGAGGATGGAAAACAGAATGGAAGCATGGTAATTAATTCAGCAGAGTAAGGACGCAAAACCTTAGTGTTCTCATCCGCACATGGAAAATCTGCTGAGAAGCAGAAAGGCTCAAGTAGTGGAGGCACCGGGCACCACAGAAAGTACAAATTAAGGAGCAATGCTGAAAACAGGAGACTTAGTCTATATATAGTGCTTTTGAACTTCCAGGCTCCTCCCCCCATGCCAGATGGCTTCCTCATTCCCCATCCCCACCCATGGGAAAATGGGAAAAATTAAACTAGAGGGGCCCATATCTCTGGGGTCTGGACTAAAGACAGTAGAGGGAAGGATTGAGATTCCAACATGAAAACAAGGGGACTCAGAGAAGGCTTGCATACTGAATGGGGAGACTCCCCTCAGCCCCTCCCCCTGCAGGTCTTTCCACAGTGCCAGTAGCCAGACTTATACTCTCCAGGCAGGAGACTGGAGGATCTTCCACTGAAGAAACCGAAGGGAAAAAGACCTACAGACACTGACATAAAGAGGTCAGCTACCAAAAAGTTAATTTGCCACCTGATTAGCCTATAGTGAAGTCCATTTACTGATAAGCTTGGCCAACATAGAATCATGGTTTCTTTTTATTTAGGGCCTCTCTCTTATATATATATATATATATCAGCTAAGGATCCTCAGACATTTGAATCAACCTGACATCATAAAATAAAGAGAAGAAAAAGGTATATACACATTTTGAATAAATAGAGACAATGCAGGGGATGTAATGTACAGCATGGTTAATAATATTATTTTGCATAATTGAAAGTTGCTAAAAGAGTAGACATAAAAGTTCTCCTCAAAGAAAAAAAGTTGTAGCTATGTATGGTGATGATGTTAACTAGACTTATTGCGGTGATCATTTCACAATATATACAAATATCAAATCATTATGTTATACATCTGAAACTAATATAACATTATGTGTCAATTTTACATTAATAAAAAAAAGACAATGCAGAAACAAAACTTTTTTAAAAATCCTATAATTAAGGGGCTCCTGGGTGGCTCAATTGGTGAAGCACTGACTTTTTTTTTTTAATACTTTATGTATTTATTTGACACAGGGAGAGAGAGCACAAGCAGGGAGAGTGGCAGGCAGAAGGACAGGGAGAAGCAGGCTCCCCATTGAGCAGGGAGCCCAATGTGGGCCTCCATCCCAGGGATTATGACCTGAGCCGAAGGCAGATGCTTAACTGACTGAGCCACCCAGGCACCCCGGTGAAGCACTGATTCTGGATTTCAGGTCAGGTCATGATCTGGTCCTGGGATAGAGCCCTGCATTGGGCTCCCTGCTCAGCAGGGAGTCTGCTTAAGGACTCTTTCTCTCGGGGCCTGGGTGGCTCAGTCGTTAAGCATCTGCCTTCGGCTCAGGTCATGATCTCAGGGTCCTGAGATCGAGCCCCGCATTGGGCTCTCTGCTCAGTGGGAAGCCTGCTTCTCCCTCTTCCATTCCCCCTGCTTGTGTTCCCACTCTTGCTGTGTCTCTCTCTGTCAAATAAATAAAATGTTTAAAAAAAAAAAAGGACTCTTTCTCTCTCCAGGTCTTTCCACAGGCTGTCCAGTTGCTCACACATTCTCTCTCTATATAAAAAAATAAATAAGTAAATCTTTTAAAAAAATCCTATGATTAATATCCTCAAAGATATATGAGAAAAACATTCCGGCCATTTAATAGTTACAGGATGCTATTTTTTTTTTTTAAGAAAAGAGAACATTCCAAAAAGAAAAAAAAAAAGAAGAAAAAGAAGGAGGGGGAGGAGGAATTTTTGGCATTTTTTCAAAGATAAAAGGGTGGCAGATAAAGTCAAGGAGATCTCCTGCCTTCTTCCCCACTTCCCCCACAAAACAAGAAGGAGACATTTTGAAGAAAAAGAGACTAGGAAATGATGGTAGTGGAGATCAATCCAGGAGACCCAATATCAAATTAGTAGAAATTTCAGAGAAAAGAAAGAAAATGGATGAGAGGATATTATCAAATTAATAATAGAAAAAAAAATACCAGGAGACACATTTCTAGAGGAAAGGGCCCACTGTGCTCAGCATAATTAATGAAGAAGACTCTCACAACACTGTGACACATTAGCACATCAAAGGTAAAGAGAAGATCCTAAAAGTTACCAGAGAGAACACTCAGGTAACATACAAAGGACTGGGGATCAGAATGGTATTGGACTTTCCAAAAGTAACATTAGAAACTAAAGGACAATGAAACAATTGCTTCAAAATGATGAGGGAAAATTATTTTATATTCACCTAAATTATCACCAAAGCACGTGGAAGCTACTGGACGATGGGTTCCATCAAACAAGGAGTAAACCAAGAAACCAACAGGCACACAAGATAAAAACAAACAAAAGGGAATCTAACGTAGGAGAACTATGAAAGGAATTCCTAAGAAGAGTGGGAAGTCTCAGGATAGCAGCGGTGCAATGGGCCAGAATGGAATAGGATGACAGAGGACTCTAGGGCAAAGGCTTTGGCAGGTGGAGAGGGGAGAAGAAGAAGCATGTAAATGAGAGATTTTCCATTACATTGCTAAGAAAAATTGAAGAAGACCTATATAAAGGGAGACATAAACCATGTTCTTTGATTGGAACACTAAATACTGCCAAGTTGTAAATTCTATGCTAATTGGAATAAAAAGAATACAGAGTCTAGAATTAGAACCACCCATATGTGAATCACCTGACGTTCTTTGCACAATTCAATATGGAAAGAAAGATACTTTCGATAAATGGTGCTGAAGCAACTGGACAGCCGTATGGGAAAAAAATGAACCTGGACTCCTTCCTCACACCATACATCAAAATCTAGTCAAGGTAAGTAATAGATTGGAGCTCCTGGCTGACTCAGTCTGTAGAGCATGCAACTCTAGATCTTGGGGTCATGAGTTGGAGCCCCACATTGGGCATAGAGTTTACTTAAAAAAATCTTTTAAAAAAAGGTAAGTAATAGATCTAAATGTGAAAGCTAAAGCTATAAAGATTTTAGAAGAAAACATACTAGAGTATCTCCACAACTTTGGGATAGGCAAAGATCTCTTGGAAGGACTCATAAGTCACAATCTATATAAAAAGTTTAAAATTGATTAACTTCACCAAAATTAAGAACATCTATTCATCAAAAGACTATTAAGAATATGAAAAGGCAAGCCACATACTGGAATAAAATATTCTCCACACATATATCTAATAACTCATATCCAAAATATATTAAATCCTACTAATTGATAAGAAGATAATGCACTTTAAAAGTTGGACAAAGGACTTAAACAGGCACTTCATAAAAGAAGATGTACAAATAACTAATAAGCACATGAAAAGATGCTCAACATCATTAGTCATCAGGCAAGTGCAAATTAAAACTACAATACCAGTACACCCCCCCATGAGAATGGCTAAAATTAAAAAGACTAACCATACTAAATATTGGGAAGGATGTGAAGCAACCAGAACTCGCGGACATTACTGGATGGAGTATAAAACGTCCCAATCACTTTGGAAAACTGTTTGATGTTTTCTTTCAAAGTTTAGCATAATCCTCTCCCCTAATCTAGAGATACTACTCCTACGTGTACATCCAAGAGTAATGAGGGCAGACATCCAAAAAAGACTCATTCAAGAATATTCATATCAGTTTTGCTTATAATAGCCCTAAACTGGTAACAAGCCAAATGTCCATCAACAGGAGAACAGATAAGCAAATTGTGGTAAATTTATTCAATGACTGAAAAAAGGAACTACTGAATGAATTACACACAGCACATTATATTGAGAGAAAGAAGCCTGACTCAAGAGTACACATTGTATTATTCCCTCTGTATGAAGTTCAGGAACAGAGGAAACTAATTTACAGTGACAGAAGTCAGAATAGTGGTTCTTCAGGTGGTAAGGTGCATGAGAGGACTCTCTGGGGTAACAGAAATATTGTATATCTTGATGCAGGTAGTGATCACAAGGGACTATACATACATAAAAAGTCAATGAGCTTAAACTTAAGCTTTGTTAACTTTGCTGTACGTAAATTATCCCCCAGTAAAGTACTGATTAAAAAAAACAAAACAAAACAGCAACATAAACTTGTTTTAAAACATGGAAGCAAGTACCACAAGAAACTGTGCAAACAATTTAAAGTGGTTGCTCTTTTCTTCATAATAAACCTTTTAGTACTATTTAATTTTTCGTGTGTTTGATAGTAAAAATTAATTTTTAAAAACTGCCTTCCACAAAGTGGTTGGAGGGAAATGCCGTTATGCGACATATAGTAAGTGTGGAATAGCAATTTGTGACACAAAGGAGAGGAAGGAAGGGAAAAAGGAGGGAAGGAGGAAGGAGGGAGGGAGGACGGACCCTGTTGCAGTGTTTGATATCTTGGTGGCAGACTACTGATCCAAGACGCACATTTTTTTGAAGATTTCGCATCACTAACTACATAGTTCACAAAATGCTGCCCTCTTCCCCACCAACTTTATCCCTTTCTTTCCCCCAAAGCACTGCATTACTAAATGTCATGGATACCCAGAATTGAGGTGCTGGTCCCAAGCTGGCCATGTGACCTCAGGTGAGTCTCCTCATCTCTATAGGCTTTAGCCGTCATCAGAAAAGGAAACCAGAGAGCAGGTGGTCTCATATGTCCCCTGAACCTATATTGCAAGGATTCTAGCCTGTAGGTTTCCTGTTCTTCAAAATTTCAGCCTGTATTTTCCCTTGGGACTTACCAGCTAAAGAGGTTTCACATAAAACATTTTCCAGGGAGCTGTGTCTGCCCTGGCCAGCGTCCTTGAGTTTATCTGGGTGGTCTTTCGTGACATACTCCTCGCCCCATTCTTTACCATCCTTAGGCTGCCTCCACACACCAGATGAGAGATGGCTCTTGGGCTGGATATCAGCCGAGAGGCAAGACTTAAGGTTTTCTTCTGCTTCTGGAGTTGTTGGGTTCATTCCTGAAAAATAACACCTGCCGTCAAGATTTGACTTTTTAAAAAAAAATTATATTTGTTATTAACTCTGAAATATTATGCCCCTGTTTGGGTACAAACTGTCCCTCGAGGATTAAATAAATCAACTGAAGATTAAAAGTTTCTACACTTGCAAAGGATCACCTCTATTTCTGGCCTATACATCCTCTACTCTTTGTATGTAGTCACTACTAAATAAGGCGTTTTAAAAAAATAAAATTATAAAATAATATAATTAATTTGTAGTAAGTATGCATTGACTCCCTGTATCTCCTTCCTTTTAGGCAAGCACACCAGGGGGAAAAATACAGAGGAAGAAAGATGCCAAAACAATGTTTTCTTCTGGAATTTGTTTTCCTTGGCCGCAATAATGGTAAGTTGCAAAAAGGAGGAAGGAATGGAGGGAAGGGAAGATGAAATAATTTTAAAAATACTGGTGGGTTGTCTATTAAGTAAATAACTTTTAAATTAAATGAACTATAAACTGTGTCCATAGAAAACTTATGCTACGTATACCTGTGAGTTTCTCAGCAAATATTATTTCAGTAATTGACATGAGCCAGAAAGAACCAATTGATGTGAGCCAGAAAGAACCAAGAATACTGGCTTTGTCTTAAACATCTCCACCCCTTCCCTTCTCTCTCCTTGGTTTAACTGAGTCACTGACTTACTCTATTACACATCTTGGGGTCTTAGTAACCACAGTGCTTTACCTTGCCTGAGTTCTTTCAAGCCTGGTTTGGGACTGAGGGCCTAGAAGCAGGGAAGGTGGAAGCAGGGAAAAGGTAGAGTTGCTAGAAGAGAAGAGAACTAAACACAGAGCTACTTACCAGGACCCATCATCCCCTTCACATTACTGTCTGCTACATGCATGGATCTGGATTCTTGGGCTAGAGAAAGGAAAGCTTTCAGTCAGTATTCACTCCACTAACAGGGGCTGACACCTTCTATGAGCCAGACACTGGGGACAGACTCACTGTTGACAGCTTACTGAGGGAGACAGAAGAGCCAAAAATAAAATAAAATTTCAATATAGTGGCAAGCACTATTTTCCCATTTGTAAGAATATATAATAAGTGGCGCTTACCTCCTAGACTACCACAAGAATTAAATCAGTTAATATGTGTAAACTATACACAATAAGAGCTAAATTATTGTCTAACTATGATGGTGAGGGTGTGAGGAGCCAGAATGATGCTGTTCAAATGTAAGTCAGACCCTGTCACTCCTCCACTCAGCCCTCCAATGGCTTCCCAGGTCAGCGTAAAAGCCAAAGGCTTTATAATGACCATAAAGCCGTAAAATATCTGCCCCCTCCTGCCCCTCCTGTTTCCTTCTTTTCTGAAAACTTCGTCTCCTGTTGTCCCTCTTGTTCCCTCTGCTTTAGCCCCCCTGCTCCCGCTCCAACTTGAATGAACATCTCAATGATGTTCCCGCTAGGACCTTGGCATGGGCTGTTCCTTTCTTCCCTTCCGAATGCATAAGCTCACATCCTCACTTCCTTCAGGTTTTACCTGGCACCCTCTCTAAAATTACACCTGTGTTTCCTTATTTTTCTCCCTATCACTAACGTACTACATATTTTATCTATCTTGTTTGTTGTCTGCTTCCATGAGGGCAGGAATGTTTGTTGTTTTGTTCATTACTGTCTCCCGCCATCTAAGTCAGCGTCTGGGATGATGGATAGATAGCAGGAAAGACCAACGTGTAGTGGGACAGTCAACACCTTAACTGCAATCTCCCGAAAGACCTTGAGCCAGAGGCACCCACAGATTCCTGACCCAGAGAAACTATAACATAATGAATGTTTATTATTGTAAGCTACTGAATTTGGGAGCAATAAGCAACAATTGCACCATTTTATAATTAACAGTGGGTAAGCCAACCCTTTCTAAAGTCTGGCCCTTAGATCCTGCGTTTCAACATAACCTACCATCAATCATATCCAAAATGTCTTATTATGGCACATTGTTCCCAAATTCTGCAGTAACTCGGTTGAACAAACTGTATTATATAAGCCACATCTATTATAACAGGGAAGGAGGGAGGAGTTGCCACCACACAGCTCATTGAACTCCATCTGAGCACTTTGCAAATATAATTTTTAATCTTTTATCTTGTGAAAATGTTCAACTTCCCCAGACCTGGCACTGATCTGACCTCTACTTTCCAAGGCCATCCTGTATTCTTTCCTAGCAAGACCATCCTTTTATGTTCTGTTCATCATGACATGGAGCAAAGAAAATAGAACTACCTGTGATGAACCCACTCAGTCCCCAGATGGATCAGTGAGTTTTCCCAGGCTGCACCTATTAGTCTCTAAAGTAACTACTCAAGGGGGTAAAAAAAAACTACAAAGAAAAAAAGCAGATCCATACTTTGAAGTTATACCGATTTAAAAGCCATCTGATTTAGATTTTTAAATTTAGTGATTCAAAACACATTTATCGTCTAGGAATATATGGTGCCTTAAGGCAGAAGGGTAGAAAACCACCAGCTCTGCCCCAGAGGAGCTTCCAATTGGTTGAGAAGTCCTTGAGCCTCTTTTGGAGACTTTCTATATGTGACCCAAAAAAATTTAAAAAAAAAAAAAAGGACAATTACTCTAACTAACATTAATGTCACTCTCCAGCATAGGTACTTTGCTAGACATTGCTGAGCATACACAGATGTAGCAAACGTGTAACCAGACATGGTTACAGACGGATGTAACTGGATGGAAAGCCAGTTTCATCAGCACTGCCCAGGGACAGTTTGCTAGCATCTGCTGTCTCATCCCTCAGATCAGGGGTGTGGCTAGTGACCTGAGCCCACAGACAGCACCAGCTCTGGTTACCCAGAGAAAGAGGGGCACGCCACTGACGTCACTGCCTGCCAGTTAAGGCAGATATGATTTTCTCTGATCAGTGAAACCTCACTGAAAAAAGCGCAGAACACACAATTTCCTGGTAAGAATATGCCTATCTTTAAAATGTCTATGCAGAGAGACAAGGCATGAGCAGTAATGTGGAAGAGAAAACGAGTTATTAGAGTGGATAATTTTTTTTTAACATTTTTCTCCTAGGGTTAGTATTTGAAATTTAGAAAACCCAGATAAGTATTTTCCAAAAAAAGAAAATCTTTTAAAATTGGGCAGATTCTCCTGGTCTCTTAGGATCCCCTGGATTCTTTTTTTTTTTTTTTTTTAAGATTTTATTTATTTATTTGACACAGAGAGAGAGTACAAGCAGAGGGAGCTGCAGGTAGAGGGAGAGGGAGAAGCAGGCTCCCTGCGGAGCAGAGAGCCCGATGTGGGACCCCATCCCAGGACCCTGGGATCATGACCTGAGCTGAAGGCAGATGCTTAACTGACTGAGCCACCCAGGCACCCCAGGATCCTCTCTTGGATTCTTAAAAATTCCAATTATAGGAGGAAAAATTCTGAGCAATACATCATTTTCCTATAAGGATGGAAGACATAAACCCATTCTTACTATTACTTAAGCTCTAGGAATCAAGGGGAAAGGCTTGGTTAATTCAATATGGTTTGCAAACTGTACCTTTTTCATAGGCCTGAGAAGGCAAGAGGTTTGTAAAGTCTTCACTTGGAAGAACAGGCTCAGGGATATTGATTGAACGGAAAGGACTTCCTTGTGCTTGAGCAGGCCCAGCCTGTGAGCCATGTTCTTCTTTTTGAGTTTTCCTGGGGAAGGAAAACAAAGGGTCTTAATGCCTGATGGGTTAAGAAGAGAATCAGTTCAGAATGATTCAAGAAAAATTCTGAAACATTAGGTTGAACCAAAAAAGTGCTGTTTTTGTAAATTAAAAATAGTTAGATACTAGCAATTCTTAGGGCTCAACTTAATTCATTGCCAAAACTGGAGAAAAAATTTCAAATACGTACAAATCACATCCTAATGGTAATACCTATATTTTTGTTTTTCTGTTCCTGGCTTCCTTGTCATCAGGATCTGTACAGAGTTTGCAGCGATGACAATTTGCTTGGGGTGATTTACATTCACTTAACAAAGCAACACAAAGGTACCAGGAAGCAGCAGGTCTTCAACTACAAACAACAAGCCATTCTTTGGAGTCACACAAATATTATTGCCATATTTCTATTTTAAATTTGATAATTTAAAAACCTATAACAATAATGATTATATATGTTTAATGGTGAAACTTAATTGACTCAACCTGGTTGAGATACTAACATAAATGTATTTTCAATGGTGGAAGTAAACTAGTAGTAGCATTAGAGAAATTTTAGAAAACTAATTAAAAAAGAAAATCATGAGTGACCCCACTATCTTAACACAACAATCACCATTTTAAAATATATCTTTCTAGTTTTTATTTTACATGTTTTTACAGTTGAAATAAAATTCTACATGTCATCTTATATCATTTTCATTTCACTTCCTATTGTACTGAGTGCATTTTCCGTGTGATTATTACCATCCATTTTTAAACGTAACCGATTTTTATGATTCTATAACTTCCATCACATGCTGACCCACAGATTCCAGCAGTATGTAGCCAGTTATCTATCTGCCGATGGGGGGAAGGTGTTCTCGGTGTAAGTATCCAAACCTCTGCTTATGGGTTTGCCGTTGGCTAATTTTGTGTAAGACACTCACTTGGCTTTAACCTTTCGAGATTCCCTTCGCTTTTCCTGCTGAAGCTGTTCAATTTTCTGTTGCATTTCTTCTTGCTTGGAAGTGATGGCCTGAATCATTGCCATGGCATTGCTCAGCTCTTCCTGAAAAATAGGAATTGATACATAATGAATCTGGTAAAAGGGGTGAAAGGATATAAGATGATATCTAGTACACAGTAAGCTTTTAGTATACATTTGTTGAATGAATGAATGAGAAATGAACATCTTATTTCTATTGCAGTCTGTAATTTTAACACAGAGATCCAAGAAAGAAAAACATGAAATAGATTTTTTTTTCGTGATAATTAGCAAATGGGCCAGAGGGAAAATTCTTTTATTTGACTGCTACATGAAAAGGTGTTTTCTACTTCTGTGGCTAAGATCAAGAACCTCTCTGTTTAGCAGGGGAGTAGAAAAGGAGCCTAGGGGGCGCCTGGGTGGCTCAGTTGGTTAAGCGACTGCCTTCGGCTCAGGTCATGATCCTGGAGTCCCAGCATCGAGTCCCGCATTGGGCTCCCTGCTTAGCAGGGAGTCTGCTTCTCCTTCTGACCCTCCCCCCTCTCATTCTCTCTCTCTCTATCTCATTCTCTCTCTCAAATAAATAAATAAAATCTTTTAAAAAAATAAATAAATAAAGCTGGCACCTAAATGCTCAGGAGATGGGCATATGAAAGTGCTCCTTTCCCTTCATTTTCCAAGAGGACTACTGGGCAAGGACACAGTCTTGCCTGAGGAGGCTGCGGACCAGGCCTGGCCTGCTACTCCCTGGAGTGTCACAGAGCCCCTTCCTCTTCTCACACCCGTCTCCCTCATTCCTCAGTGTGCCTTGGTTTGTTTGTTTGTTTGTTTGTTTTTTCCTAGAGGAAATGAAGGGAGGAAGAGAGGTGTCAGAAAAGGATGTGGTGGAGAGGAGAGAGAGAGAGAGAATCACGGGCAGAGGAAGGGGGTGCATGGAGAAGGGTGGGGCAACCAGGGGCCTATAGGAATGAGGATGGAAGCCAGAATGAAGTAGAGTTTTGCTGGGCTACAGCAAGGACTCGAGCTCTAACTTGGTGACTTATGGGAATTGATACTAGGTTCCCTTGGGCTTTCAAGACCACAAGTTTAATGAAGATGAAAGTGTCACCGAGAGCTGAATTACTTGGATATTCATTCCCCCAGGGTCCAAAAAGAATGAATCAGTGGACAATTGGGGTGCTTTGCCAACCCTGAACAAGCAGACCTTTGTTGAGTTCAGTAGGAAGAACCGCAGTTTGGTAAGAAGTTTTTTCAACCTCCCCTCCAAAAAAATAAATAAAATTAAAAAAAAAAAAAAAGCTTCTTTAACCCATCTGCAAGTAAAGCAGACTCCCCTGAGGCTATAGCTCAGAGAAGACGCAGATAACAGAGCGAGTATCCAGCCCCTGTGAGAAGATACGAGGATTCCTTCACTCCGGACCTCTGCCCCTCCCCTTCCTGTGCCACTAGTCTCGGAATTTGCGAAGCCAGCTGGTCCATAAGCACAAGTGGAGGGACTTCCCGATCTAAGCCCTTATGGCTGGCACAGTGGGCTCAGAAGATCTAAGTAATCCCTGTCCAGATCAGAGGGAATTTGGAGGGGTGGCTAGGAGACAGGATGACTGTGGAGGAGACCATCAAGCTGATGGAGAAAAGCACAACTGATTGAACTGAAAGAGTAAAACACTATGCCCGTGAAAGGTCTAGATGTGAAAGATTTCTCCCCACCCAAGGCTATCATGACTTTGGGTAATATTCCTGGTGTGACACTGAAAGATGTGAGGGCACCATGCCATGGTGAGTTCTGACTTTGAGATGGGTTGTCCATATAGGTTATGTAATATCTCTTGGATGATCTCTTTTCTTTTTCTCTTTCTTTACTCCTCTCCTGGCCTTGCCTGGCCTCACCTGGCCTGACCTTCTTTCTCTTTCTTTAGAGAAAGCTGCCTTCTGTTACATGGTGACCAGTGTCCTTGCAGAATTGGAGAGCTGGTAACTTGGTTGGAGTCCAGGTACCCCCTGGACTGTCCACTGGGGTAATAGTTTGAGATTTCAGGGTGAGGGTCACAAAAGGTTAATGCTCCCATCAAGTATCATGGAAACACAAAAGTTCCACAAAGAGCAATGGCCTGCCTGTGGGTTCTGTACCAAATATTGAAGAAAATTTTATTTAAAAAAGATATTATTTGAAATCAGAGAGGAATGTGGAGGAGGTAAGCCAGGAGATAGAGAGGAGAGGGAGAAAGAAGCAAGCAGGACAGACACACACGTAACCTGTTTCCCTTTTTACCTAGAGCCACACCCGACTCCCAGAAGCAACTTTTTCGTGAAGATGAAAGTATTAAGTATTCATCTTCCTATCTATTCCTTACTAGGGGTGAAATTATAGCAACTACATGAGTAGTTTATTCTTTTTAAAATCTTCAAAGTTATTTAAACTCCCACAATACAGTACTTAAACAACAAGGGCACTAAACTAAAAGCCATCAAGGAAAACCCAGTTAGAGTTTCAAATTAATAACTTAGCTCTTGCCGGTCTAATTTTAGGCCAGACTATCTCCTGAGCTTCAGCAGCAGGACGCAACCAAATTTGCGGGGTGCCGATGACGAAGCATATGCCACCTGGTGGTGAGCCGTAGCACACAGCATTTTTGGTGCATGCGCAGTAGGCTGACTCGCAATCCTGTCGGGCTGATGTCCCTCCCCACAAGTATCCCGACAGACAGGACTGTTTGATCCTGAGCTTGGAACTCTATCTAGGTGAATCAGACCAGAGAAAGCCAAGAACTGCAACTCCTGTGATCCTCCAACAAATGAACAGTCGCCCACAAGCTCCTCTCAGACCTCAGCGGGCCGCTCGTGCCTCTGCAGTTTCCAGCCCTTTCGTTCAGCCAGGCGCAGGGCTGGCTTGAAACATGCGAAGGAGGCTCTTGAGGGCTTTACTTTTCTCCAGGGAAAAACTAAAGTTTTATTGTAGAGGTTTGAGAAGATGTGGCAACCTCAGTTTTGAGTGTCCAGTTGTAGTGCCGGTGGGTTTTATTTTCACCCCCAGGTTACTTTGCAGCAGGGGTGGAAAGTGCTGGAGGCTTGCAATGTATGATGGGAAAGATGGGACATGTTACTACCTTATTTTCATCTTTGCACGGGGAAAGTGCCAGTAGAGAAAAGGAATAATCTCGTTCTGTTGTGTATTTCGTTCAGTGGGCCTATTTAAAACCCACGGAGGCTTCAGAAAAGCTTAGAAAAGGGGCGCCTGGGTGGCTCAGTCGGTTAAACGTCTGCCTTCGGCTCAGGTCATGATCCCAGGGTCCCGGGATCGAGCCCCGCATGGGGCTCCCTGCTCAGCGGGACACCTGCTTCTCCCTCTCCCTCTGCTATTCTCCCTGCTTGTGTGCTCTCTCTCTCTGTGTGTCATATAAATAAATAAAATCCTTAAAAAAGAAAAGTTTGGGAAAAAAGAAGAAATGTAGTGAGTGAAGGAGGATAATGGAAATCTAAGCCTAGGGTGGAAAAATGGCAACACTGCAAAGCTCAGAACTCAAGTCTTTATATTAGTCCTAAGAGTACTGACTTAAAGCTTTTCTCATCTCCATCCATGAAAAGAAAAAAGAGGGTTAGCTTAGTAAATAACTAACATGAATAGCATTATCGCAGATATAAGAAATAACTGGTTTCTAACTTTCATGGGGGATTGTGTGATAGTTTTAAACTTTTTTAAATCTTGGGATTTGGGGACGATCAGTCCTTCCTCAGTCATGAGTCATGGGAGAACATCCTAGACAAGGAGGAAGTGACGGCAAGTAGAAGAGAGCTTCAGTAAACCGAGAACATTTCTAGCATCCCTGCCTGACACATCAGTTGAGATCTGAAGTAAGAACGTAAGGGCTGTTAAGAGGGAAGCCTACGCTGTAAAATAGGAACAGACAGAAGGTCTGCTTCTGGCTGAGAAACCCAACATATTGCTGTTAGTCAGATGATGTTTTTGAAACGACAAGGTCCTCAGAGAAGTGGTGTGATGTGGAAAGGTCACAAGGACAGGGGCAGACAAGCCTGGATCCGGATCCTGGCACTAACTGACTGTGTGGTTTTAAAGCCCTCTGGGCCTTAGTTTCTTCAGCTATACGGTAAGCTTCATAGGGTTCTTGTGAAGATTTCATGAATTTACCAATGAAGTGCCTGGTTACCGTGTTCCAGAGTAAACAGTTCTCTCTCTCTCTCCCCTTGCCCCATCCCCAAATTTTCAGAGACGATGAGGAGATGCTGCTGGCTTAGAATCTCGCATGTGGAAGCAATACTACACCAAAAGGTAGATTTGCCTTTAGATTTGATTAATGCAAATGGAGCAGGTCTCTGGCAAGATAGCTGGAGGCCGGAGAGGCATCTCAGAGGCTGAAGGGGCAATGGGGGAGGGTGGGACGAGTCGGATTCCAGATGGGGAAGGAACGACCAGCGAGAATCTGGGTGGCCCCTGAGAGAGGCCTCTAGGGGTGAGAGCTTTAGCCCTGTTACTTCACCCTTTCTGTTCCTTGTTGTTTTCTATACTTTGCTTACCTCAACTTTGCAGTAATGATTCTTGAAAATAGTCAAGCCACTTCTGAGTCTGTCAGGGAATATTCCCTCACCTCAGCCATTAGATAGGGGGAGCACCGTGTTCTAGAGACTAGGTATTTTGCCAGCAGCCACAAAGCCAAGTAAAATGGGGCGGGGGGTGGGTGGGTAGAGAGCAGGAAAATACAATCAGGGGCTTCCCGAGATAGATTCATGATAGATTTATGGACCACCAGTGTCTATTACCTGATAGACTATTTAAACTATCAATGCTACATTTATCTGTAATAGTCATAATCCAGACTTTCCATTCTTCTCGATTGGCCTTTTCCTCAACTAATCTGGATTATTACGTCTTCATGAGGTTAGTCCTTTCCACCAAATCAGAGTTTCCTCCTTCCTGCTTTTCTTAATGGAGAAGAAGCAGAGAAGATATAAAGATGATGAACAGAAGCAATCAAGGAGTGTTGTAATCTTGGAGCTAGCATGCTGTTATAATATACTGCAGACCCTGTGGAAGCACCAACACACATACACACACACACACACACACACAC